TTTTAAACAAATATGTGTCATATTTTTTAGCAAATAAGTTCTGTCCCTAGCTAATGGTCATCTTTGGCCTTCCCTCTCAAGACCCCGTTTGGTTCATTCATTATTGCTTTCTTTAGAACACTACTGTAGAACAGGAGCAATCTCTATATTTTTGAGAACCCAATATTTTTTTAATGTTTATGTTTTTTTCTTTTTTAATTAAACGTTAGAAGCTGTTTTCAGGCTTTGGTGACATAAGTAACATCGAGCTTAAGTTATTATATTTTTTAAGGCTATGCCTCGTTTGAAAAAAAATAAAATATCAACACTCGTGAGAAATAAAAGGAAATAATTAGGCTGGCCATACCCATACCCCTTGCAATATGAATGTGTCATCCACTGTTATTTCTTCCAAAATGTTGTAGAAGCCCTACCTAAACAATCCAGCCAGTTTTTATCTAGTCGGGTAGGCTTGTATACTGTATAATGGTTCTAGATCTAAAGAAGATTGTTGAATTAAATTTCAATGTGTATGGCCACGCTGAAAGAACTTGCTGTCTTTATGGGATGAAACTGCATGGTGTCTATTTTCATCACATCCTATTGACTGTCCTATATATGGAACATTAGGTGGAAAGCAAGCCATGCTGGAGAGTACTTCCCATTTGTGTGTACCCTTACGTGCCAAAAGCCAAAACTTTTTTCAGTTGTCACTCGAACAGAAATAGAGGTGAAGTCTTCCAAACTATAAACCTGTTCTAGTGACAACTGTGTAAAAAGTGATATCCTCTCACTTTGGAGAGATCTCTTCTTATTCATGCTGTGTCTCTGGAATTGGAAGTGAATGGGAATTTCCAATGACGTGATTCAAATAGGAAAGAAAATGGTCAGGAGCTCAAATCTACAAAAAATTCAGATTTTACTGTACATACACTTTAGGACTGCAAACTAGAAGGGTTCAAATTCTCCACCTATAATTTGCAACTTAAACGTGCTTAATTTGCATATAATTCAGCATAGTATAACACTTTTGTCCACCATACATTGTAAATATATTGCATTTTGTAAATTCTAAACTCTGTCAGTAACCTGCAAAATAATGTAGTGGCAAAAAGCATTAAAGTACCACAGTGGGCCAGGTTTACTGCAGTGTTAAGTAAGGTAAGGAGTGCAGCAAACCCATGTTTACCTGAAGCATCTAACCAGGTGCTACCAAATAAAAAAAGTGACTGGATTTTCAAATGGGACCTAGGCTGACCTCACGCGTTAGGAAATCAAGCCCAGCGAGCATTCCCAAACTGGTCAGCCATCCTTTTGTGCTTGGAAATATAGCTGTTCTCTAGCAAAGCCTGTAACTGCTGAATTGTGAAACACATAGTGCAAAGTATTGGTTTTACACCTAGGACAATTGTGGTTTTCACAGTCTTTTTGTGCTTTGCTACATGGTCCACACTATTAAACTATACTGAATACAACCTCAGTTCTAGTCGCAAAATTGTAAGTGATAAAATATAAAACTTCTTGCTGAGAAAGGTCAACATTATTTTGAAGACATGGCAACTAGTTATTACCGTTGTTACAGTCCATATAAAATATTTTAGAAGTTAAAAAAAACATACTTTTCCCTCTGATATTTTATTGTGAGTGCCTCATGCATTTGCATACTTAATTTGAGGAAATTCTGCAAGACTGGCTTAAAGTAGAACTAAAGACAAAATTTGTTTGGGGGGGTTGGATAGAATAAGGGAGGGTTAAAAACCTTAGCCTTTGTTATTCCTCTGTGTCCCATTGGGGAGATTACCCTTTACTTCATGTTCAATAGCCACAAAAGGAAGTGAGAGGATTTCCCTCCAAATCCCTGGTGGTCAGCAGAGTCACCAGAGCTAGCGTTCCCATTGCACAATTTCCCATCTATTTTAATGACAACCCAAAGTAGAAATAAATCTCTCTTAACGAGACGCAGTTTGAACCCTCCCCTATTTTATCTAAAAAATGGCTTTAGATATCCTTTAACCATTTACATTTAGATAAACCACCCTACCTGACCTGTAATGTATGTTTTTTACAACAAATACATAGTAGTTGCATTTGAATATTAATCAATTACTATTTTAAAGTTGTTGGGTTTATTAAATAATGAGTGCAAAGAACAGTAGAGTTTCCCCAAGAAATCAACTACTAAGTAAAACGTAGCTCAGTTTGTTTAGACAAATGTTATAAGACATATTCTTTCAAGTCTGTATTAAATCATCATACTTGAATGAAATGTGCAAGTACAGTGAGATGTGCAAAGTAGAAAAACCCCTAGCAATAAATTAGAAATGATCTCTTAATGGAGTTGAAAGTGGTGATTGTGAATGGGTTGCAACTTACTAGAGCACATCCTCTCTGAGCTTTGTACTGTGTTATTAAATATCCATGTTAGACTTTTCTTTGGCTCTTACTTGTTTATTTCACTTACATTACAGTGGTCTACCAGTATGATATCTGGTTATAAAAAAAAAAGGGAATTTGATTATCCTCAATATCTGCCAGTATTGCCTTTATTTAGCATCTTTCAAGTAGACCTAAGCATTCCAATGTGTGATCATGGTATTACATTTCTGCAACCAGACATAGGGCTAATTCTCTGTGCATAATAAAGTTATATATATAATGTCTTTCTCTTGATTTACAAGCACATGCAACAGAAACACTGTCTGCAAACATAAACTTCAACTGATATATTTAGCCCTTGACGGGCAATTTAGCAGCTATCACTAAGACAAAGATTGATTGCAATGAGGGCAACATTAAGCATATTACAAAAGCACTAAGATAATCCAGACACATAGCATGCATTGTACAGGAAGCAAAATTAGATTCCATATCATACCCAATATCATATTAGGTGTTCTTCCTTTCAACCATGTTAAAAGGTATTTATGTATTTCAGTTGAACAAGTGCAATTTTGTACTGCCAAAGACACATTACCCATAACAGAAATTAAACCACTTACTGGAAAAAATATGTAGCCTGCCACTGTTGACCTTTGCTTTTGGAAACAGTAGTTGTCTGGCTGGTATGCTGATCATATGTCTATAATAGTTTTTCAGCCATTGACCTGGAACAAGTATCTAGAATATGTGAACTGACCTAACTTCACTTGCTGGATGCAAAAGATAGCTAGGTATCTAGCATTTTCATCAGGAGCTCAACAGTGGCACCCTGCATACTTAGGGGTCTATTCACAAAGCTGCCGAAGGATCTGGCCGTAGCTTCGGCCGATCCTTCGGCTAGCTTCGGCACCAGGACCCACTCGGCAGCTTTGTGAATAGACCCCTTAGTACAAGTTTCCTTTAATTGTGGCAAATGGTTGCATTTATTTGTTGTACAAAACTAAATGTGCTTTTCTCAATTTATTTTTGCATTATGGGTTTTTATATCAGCATAAGGTCTTGTAATGGTTTCACATCTGATTTGTGTGCTAAGTAGTGCTATAGAGAATTGCATGGAAATACAGAAAATAGCTATGTATAGGCATCCCACATTGGTCTCAAGTAAATGCTAAAGCCAGTCACTGGGGTTCTATTATAAAAATGGGGCTAAGGTCATTTTGAAAAGAGATGATCTCCATTGCAACCAATGTGATTCCAATAGAGTTGGTTTAAAAAGGAAACATTACACCTGGTAACATTAGTTGCATAAACAACTTTATTTGCTTGACTTTTTATGTAAATTATCCACATTACTTCTTAACTGATAGGATTGGTTCTTTCTCATACAAAGACAGTAAGCTGTTGGGTATAGCTGAATTGTTTGGGTGGATACAATTATTCATCCACCCAAACAATTCCTGTATGGAACAGGTTGCATGCTGCTTTTATAACAAAAGTTATAAAACAATGTTAATAAACAAGATATTTGTGAATGAGTATTATAAATCTGTTAACCCAAAATAGTGCCAAAGAATGTATTTTATTACAGCATGCCTCCCATATTTTGTCATGTTAGTAAATGTACTCTGAAAATAAAAATGGTTGCTGTTTCATTGTGTGATATCATGCAAGAAAGGTCCAGATAATATAATCCTCATTCCCTTTAGAGATTTATATTTCTTGGGACAGCAATACTGAATGTATTACCAGATGCAAAAGCTAGATTCCTGTGCTCAGACACCACACAGGTGTATTTCATTGTATTTATTCTGAAATGCATGAATATATAAAAATCTTTTTCTTGGAAGCATTTCTAGCAATTAAAATGCTGGAAATGAGAATTCAGTCTATTAAGTTATACTGACCACTGCGAAAACTGAAATTAAATTAACTCTGAAGTACAATATTTTTAACCCCTGTCTGAGGCGATGTAACTACAAATCATGTGCCATTTATTTCCAGATGTTAAAATGATTGCACTGCCAAGTGTTGAACATGCCATTGTCCTATCTTCTGTAATGCTGAAATGAGTGTGGCTCTACCCCATTCCCATTTATTTGCCTTTACATAACCACACATTTCCCTTTCAATTTTTCTTTTCTTTTCTGCTGTTTGCTCTTTTTGCCATCGATCTGGAGGCTCACAGTCCTGCGTTTCTCAAGGTTTAGCAGCTCTTGAAACAGCTCTTTCACATTGTGGTTCATCTTGGCTGATGTCTCCATGAAGGCACATTTCCACTTTTTTGCTATTGCTTCTCCTTCTGAGCTTTCCAGTTCTCTGTTTTGTGTTTCATCACTTTTATTTCCAACCAGCATTATAGGGATGCTTTCAACATCCCCTTTAATCTGACAAATTTGTTCATAGATAGGCTTCAGTTCTTCAAGGGATTGCCTGCTGGTCACAGAAAAAACCAAAATAAAGGCATGTCCCTTTGATATAGACAGACGCTGCATAGCTGGAAATTGGTGGCTTCCAGTGGTGTCTGTAATTTGTAAAGTACATATGCTTTTATCACAACTTATCACTTGTCTGTAGGTGTCTTCAATTGTTGGGATGTAACTTTCTCGAAATGTGCCTTTCACAAACCTTAGGACAAGGGAACTTTTACCCACTCCTCCAGCTCCAAACACCACTACTCTGTAATCATTACTTTGTTCTGGCATATTCACAATAAATCAGATGTCTTCCTTGAGAAAAACACCTAGAAAGAAACATACCAAAATATTATCAATACTATGCATTTTTTTCACAGACTGTAAATCTGGCTATGAAAAACACATTTTGCCAATATTTTTGTATCTGCCTATAGCTTTAGATTACTGCTTGGCCTTATAGAAATAATTGATGAACTCTAGATATATAGTTATATTGCATTTTTTCTACAGACTCTTAACACAAGATACATAGATATATACTAAAAAGGACATTATTATATTTTCTAAGTGCCTGTGCAATCCTATCATTACATTGTTAAACAATGCTTTATGCAATTATAGTAGAATAAAATGCATGCTAAATACTACAGGATGTGATATAAGTTATATAATGATTTACTGATGTTCAAAACATATTGAATTACAGTTTTCCAGATACTCATACGGTTTATCCACTTCATTTAGTCTTATAGCATGCTGGTATGTGTGTTTTGCTGTGTATTCATGTGTAATGTAGGTGGGTTTTTCGGTACAAAGTACTCCTTTTGCACACAGTCTACAAAATCATATTTGTTGTCTTAAAATGATAAGAAAAGAGACGAAAGAAACATATGAAAACACAAAAACTAGTTTACATATTTCACTATTAACAATGAGTAGATTCTAATTCTATATAGTTTTTATCCTTAAAAGCATGCTTCCTAAAAATATTGTATTGTTTTAGCTATCTGGCAATAAAATAATCCAACACCAGTAAACTAAGACCAAACGCACATATACCACTAAACACCACCTATGTATGTCCCTTTGATACTGTTTTTTTAAATGTTGGCACTGTCCCCTACTGCAGTGCCCGGCTTTCCATGCCTTTTGTTTGACAATAGGTTTGCTTATTAGCCTTACAAATGGGCAGAATTGATTACAAAGGGGTCTATTCACTAAGCTGCCAACGGCAGCCGAGTGAATAACCGACCCGAAGTGAAGTGAGCCGAACGCTGTTCGGCTATTCACTTCAGGCTTGTACGGCTGATTTCAGCCGTATATCGGCTGAAATCAGCCGTACATCGGGTGGCTTTGGGTCGGCCAAACATGCTCAGCATGTTCGGCCAACCCGAAGTGCAGAAGGAGTTTGACTCAGCCGACCCAACATCTGGATCGGCTGAGCCGAACCTCGGGCAGGCTACTCGCTGCTGTTCGGCCTATTCTCATAGATGACAAACAGCAGTGAGTAAATAGCCAAATGCCGCTGAGCCAAATGCCGCTTGGCTATTCTGCCCGGTACCTCTGTGGTACCAAGCAGTGTATTTCCACTATTGCAGTCAAATTGGAGTTAACCTCATTATATGGGGTTCGTACATTGTTCTCTTTCGTACAGTATACCTAAAAATTCATACCTTTCTAGTTGTTTTTAAAGCAGGCCTTTGGGCAGACTGCAAGCTAGTCAGAACAATTTAAGTGAAACTGGAGGGCGACAAAGTACGAACTGACTCAGTTTCCTGTCAATAGCATACAATGCAGGTTACAAAGCCCTGAGATCTTTAACCTTTTGTTAGGACAAACAGTGTTCAAATCTAGTATATAACTGATGATGAGATTTGCCAGCACAGTACAGACAGTGTACATTTTTGGAAACATTGAAACATTAACTCCACAGTTCCCTCAAACATTATAAAGCAGGAGAAAACTTCAGTTGCAGAGTTTTCAGAAAAGAGCAAGTAACAGGTAAGGGGCAAATTTTAAATATGTTTTTAAGTTATTCTATGTGAATGGGAACATGTAGCAAGTAGGTGTTATCCAAATTTGTCTGCAAACATGAAAATACTCCTGAAGGAGGATGTATGTTCAAAAACAGCCGTAGGTGGATGTACTCACAGCATAAAACATTCTACTCACAATTTGAGATGAGTAGTCATTAGTTTTTAATAAAAGTAAAAACTGGTTGCTTGGAGTTATTTAAAAAGAGTGTCAACTTGCCCTGAAAGCCTTGGGATTTGGGAGAGTTATTACTAATTTGGATATCACAAGACCACAGTGATTATAATGCCTGTGTTCGATCTCAAGCATAACTGCATATTTGTATCACAGACAGATATGTAGTTATGCTTAGCATAACTACATATTTTCCTCTCCTTGCCTTTGGAGCAGGGGAGTACTCTCTCCACTTGTTTTTTTAAATAGCTGCTTTCATTATATGCATGTCTTTTTTTGTATATCTGCACTTCCCCCCTTTTTGGGATATCAAATATAAAATCAATGTTGTTTTTTGATTGTTCTGAAGTACTGCATTTACCCTATAAGTGGAAGTGACCAGTTTTAACTACTCTTTTTTCCTGCTAAAAAAATCAGCCTGTGTGTTTGCAAATATAGCTAAAAACCTGTCACCTTCTGTTTGTGCAGCTATTTAAAATATTCTTAAAGCTGAATACAATGATGTTTTTGTGAATGCAAATGTGTCTGCAGAACCTTACATTTAAATCATTTAAAATACCCATGTTTTTACTTTACTTTTTACCCTACAGACACAAATTAAAGGAGATTATTGAGTATATAAATCCCAACAATGAACTTTTTTGGATCTGTTAAATATACCATTGAAAGTGTTTTGCCATATCTGTTTAATAAGTTCAAAATAATACCTGTTGATCATGTAAAAAAATCAAGGCTGCCCTGTGTCATGTTCTCACTTCCCGTGTTATCTCAAGGAGAGTAATTAGCCCTCCCAGTTTTGATACTGGGACCATGGAATGATTAGACGTTATGTTGTGGAGATGGGAGAGTTTGTAGGTCTGAGTAGTTTAGCAAAAGACATCTGGGCACAGCTGATAACACTCAGTCCACAAAAAAAGCTGTGTTTTGTCAGCCCATAACAGGATTTAGGAGCTAAGTGCATTTCTGGCAGATTAACAGGTATTTTTCTGTACTTGCAGGTTCTTTAAAGGAATAAAACATGAGGAAATGGGGTTCATTTACTAACCTTATAAACACGCCACGAACAAGTATACACCTCTTTAGTGTGTTCCCTCCCAGCATGATCTATTGGTGGAATCTAGACACCTTGTACACGCCCAGCAGGTGTGTTGTGCAAAGCCCTGCATGAATTGCAAGGGGATGTTGTGTAAATTAGCTCTACATTGTGTTGCTTGCGTTGATGAATGCAGGAATGTAAATGCATGAGCTAACCATTTTTGTCTAAACTGTGAAGCAGAATTATATATGCATCATGTGCATGATTTTTCCATATATGGCATTAGTGGAAATATGCTTTTAGATACTTTTTGGTTGATAAATACGTTTTGCTGTGTAAAAATCACACGCACCTAGTGCGTGCGTGTGTTTAGGTTAGTAAATCACCCCCAATGTGTCTGTGTTGCAGAGATGTAGTGCATGTGCTTTGTTTTTTTTTCTTAACCACTTGCTGACCGGGGTGTTTACACCCCCTTCCTGTCCAGGCCATTTTTCAGTATTCAGCGCTGCAGTACTTTGACTGACATTTATTCCATCATGTGACGCTGTACTGAAATAAATTTTATACAATTTTTTAGGGACCGATAGAGCTTTCTTTTGAAATTTTGCTCTGACAAAATAATTTACCTTTAGTACATTTTAGATAATACACTGATCTGAAAGAACAGAAACCAGTTCTTTAATGACAAAGTGTGAAAAGGTCACAGAAAAAGATATGGTGTAAGTTAAAATAAACAAAAAACAATATGTGCATCTGCAGTTTTCTAATTCCCAGGCATCTTGTCCTGTCTAATGTCCTTTACTTGCCTAATGTTCCTTATTATTCACTGAATTAAAAGTGATGGTGGCTAAAAAGCCTGGTGTTCCTGAATTCTACCCTTTGGCTTCTGGATGATCATAAAACACATAGAGGGTTATTCAGAAAGCTAGCCGAAGGATCAGCCGTAGCTCTAGCTACGTCCCTAGCTACGGCTGATCCTTCGGCTAGCTTTGTGAATAATCCTCTAAGTTACTACTTAGTTTTGCCTACTCCCCACATTATGTAAGCCTTCCCAATATAAGTAGATCATTACCTATTTTCTTGGTTATCTATCTTTTTTTTTACTGCACTTTCCATTAGTATTTGCATTAAGAGTAATGAATTGAGCTACTACTTGATATTTGAAAAGTTTGATTAATTCTTAATGAATAATTTGAACCATGAACAGATCACTTTCTAATCTTGTAAAGTAACTATTTTTATGTCCGGTGTAAGGCTGCAGCAACTGTGAATAGCTATACTGTGTTGCCAACATACTGCGTCAGTAGGTGCAGTCACAGGTGCCTTTTTATAGCTATACAAAGGCTTTCAAGCAGGGAAACAAGCTGTATATTTGCTGTCTTCAGAAATCAAGCATAACATATGTTCAACATTTTATAGCCAAGAGCTTATGTCTACTGTAACTAAGCAGCAAGACTGTAAATGACCAAGACTATCATCACATTATGTCATGACACAAACCCCGTGTGTGGATACATGGCGTTATTGAACATCTGACTATTACTACATAAACAAAATGAATTAATATCTAGCTAACTGCAGGTATAACAGCTTTAAAAGAGTTTAATTAATGGTGCATTTACACAGGAGACTAAACCCTATGGAGACATACCTAGCTAGAGCATGTACACAGCATATAATTATTTAATCCTTCCTTTAGGGCTCTTTTATATCATAGCAATGTGTTTTTGATACATGTTTCATTACTTAATTATTTTTTTTAGACTTCTATGCTTTTATCATGCACTACAGTGCATTGTAACTTGCTGTGCAAAAAAGAAACCTGTCCTATTTTTTCACTGCACACCAACACAGCACATTGGTGGGGACTCCCATCATAGAACATAAGGCTATTTACTTTGTTTATGTAATGAGACTGAATTGGACAACACAGCCAACACTAGAAGTGTGAACAAGTCTTAAATGGGAAAGTTTGAAGCTTAAGTGATACCCTTTATAGGCTATCCTTTATAAGCTTTCAAAACATGTTGGGTTTTATAATTGTAAAGGAACCTAATTTATAGTTTGCATCTTGAAAAGCTA